TTTAGCCGTAAAAAGTAAAACATCCTTGATCCTATTACATCTAAACTTATGAAAACAATATCACGCATAGTGTAGGCTGAAAAAGAAAACCTTGTCGTAGCCCCAATATAAGGCGGTGGTCCATGCGTCTCGCGCTTAGTAGTGCGCCAACCGTTCAGCCGACGGCAGCGGACACGGACGCGGAGAGCTCGGCACATCTTCCTAGCCCTCACCTCCTGAACACCTCTCACTGTGAGAGGTGAGATGCGTGCCGCCGCACTGCTCTGTGTTTGTTTGGCCGCGACGGCGGCGGCCGGTTCGACACTGACTCTGCAGCGGCATTCAGCAGTCCCAGCTGGGGCAGCGTGGGTCACCAGGTCGACAAGGGCCGTGTCCTCCGAAGATCTCAGCAGCAGTCGTAGCGAAGAACAGGCGCTCTCAGATCCGGATACTGTAAGTGGTTGTGTTTCTCGGGACGATCCCGCCGTCTGGGTGCTCTCACAGCTCTGTTCGTGTCATGTGAGATCTTGTGGTTATCTTGCTTGAGTGCGTAGTGCGTATATTGTGTCAGCATCCATTCTTAACCCGGCAGGCGGTGGGCCTCCCGGCCACCTTCCGCGTGGTGGTGGTGGTGGGGGGGGGGGCATTTTTTGTCTCCCCCCGCAGCTCCGAAACTACTGGACAGATCCGTAAAATTCAAACGGCGTTCGATAGCCCAGTCAAATTTGTTGAGGGAAATCAAATTTTATTGACCTCGGGGTCACTGATGACGTCACAGGCCAGGTCATCGATAAAATGTTTCACCGTTCACGGGCCTTCTAGGGAATGCGCTATAACATCGAGCAAAACGTATTTTGTCGAAAATCAGCGATAGGGCGTCAGTTGCCTAGTACATATGTTGCTATTAGAGGTCACTGATAATACCATGTCAGGTCAGGTCAGGTCACCAAGGGTCACCACATGAACCCAACTTTACCATGCATGTTTTGTGGCCTATTTTTCATTTCCAACTCAATGGTATTGGTTATAAGACCATCAGGTACGGTTTAGGTCACTTTCTGGTGGAGGTCAGGTCAAGGTCAGGTCAAAAAGGTCAAATTTCAAAGTTGATAATTGTACATAAAATGGGTATTGATTCGATGCAGCTCGTCACGGAGTGTCTAACGCTGGTCTTTGTTTTGCGCTACGTTGTCTAGAATTGATAAAAATTGAGTTTGAAAATTTGCCGTCATCAATTTTGAACAGTTTTTTTTTTCGCTATAACTTGCCCAAACAAGAGGTATCGATCTCAAATTTGGTATGTGGATAGAAGGCTGTAGCGACTATCACATCTATTCCGTTTTTTGAAATTCAAAAATCTTCTAGGATTTTTCGGCTATTTTATTCAAAAAATTTATTTTTTATTTTTTGGGGTCAAAATCCAAAATTTTCAAAAATCTGAGATGGTCCTTTTGTACCCCTGTTAATTCTACACCTTTTATGTGTGAAACATTTTTCTGTATCTCTAAAGCTGTAGGCCTGACAGCTCTTCCCGCGAAACCTTTTTTTGTCGAAAATGGCAGAAATTTAGCGGCCATCCTAACACAGCCTTTGGGAAAATTTTAGGTCACAATATGCAAAAGTTATTCACGGAGGGTACTGTAAGTTCGGTGACGATCGGCGCAGCGGTTCTGGAGATATATCGAAAAAAAACTAAGGGGGGGGGGGCAAAAAAAATGGCCTACCCCCACCGCCTGGAAGGTTACTTCTTTCACAGTGCGGCTCAGAAATGATTAGGGAATGCTATGGTATGGTGGACTAACGGGCACACACTGTGTGTGTAAACTGCTCTAGGTGAAACGAAAGCAAATATCTTTTTGGTAAAAAACTGCAATTGCAACATGATGACAAATAGTTAGATCAACGCCAAACCAAAAGAGATACGTTTTTTTGTGACCCGGAATTAGAGGCAGCAGGCTTTCTGCTTTAGCGATCATTGCCATGCAGAATTTTTGCAGTTTGTATGAAATGAACGAATGCTAGCGGCGTTTGAACTTGCAAATACCTGGCAGTCATTTTACGCCATAGAAAATGTGACGACTTCTCTCAATCATAGGTACACGAGGCCGATTTTGACTAAAACATGAAAGCTTTGTGATTTCAGATGTCCCAAACATTTCTTTGGTTGGCCATGTTGGTGATTTACTCGGTTTGGTAAACTTGACTTTTTGGTATTTATGGCCACTCGTGAACCCCATTTGCATCACTGTGTGTCGGCACCACTTCCCCTTTCGAAATCGATGACACCACCGACATATCGTCTGTAGAGATGCTACAGTCGCTCGATACACTTTCAAAAGAAATGTCCTATCTTGACAAAACTTATTCCTACCAAAAGCTGACCACTGAGGACCTCGCGCCGCGCTGGTACGAGCTTTTGTCCATTTCCCGACTCCTTTTTATGGTGCGCCACAGGTTAAGGTGGTCTCTTGGAAAAACGGTGATAGCTCAGAGCAGAATGAAGCTAAAGACATCGGGTTTTCACCATTGGGAAGAAAAAATATCGGTGTATGTGATGACACGAAACAAACGCGTGCAGGTGCAAAAACCTATCGTTGCTAGGGGAACTTCCATTATTTAATAGTCAACCCTATTCAATGCTGCCATCTTGATGCTAATGAATGCCTAGAGCAGAATGGATGCCAGATCTCTGATCAGGGAATACGAATCAATTATAGGACGGCCTTTCATTTATCGATATCAACCAAAGGTCATTTGAGGTCACATGAAGTCAATATAAAACATGAAATTTTCCAAACAAAGTGTATGTCTTTCGACGCAACTTGACGAGACGAATGCGCTGGTACCACTGCCGTAGCTCTAGAACTATTTGTGTTGAAGTTGTTTTCAAAAAGCATAAAACTCAGCTCGGCGTCGTAGACCTGACCTCTGACCTCGGGTCACCATAACCATTTTCTTTTTTTTTTCCTTTGGCCAAATGCTACACAACCATCAACCGTGGTCGCATTTTGCCTTTTTCTCTACAACTCTTTTTGGCAGCCATTTGAAATTCACATCTATGATGCCAAAGTTTGCCGTGCAAGAGTCTAGAAAAATCGACCCTGTGTCGTCGTCCTCAGGGGGCCATGTTAATTTTTTAACTTCAGAAGAGGTCTATGAAGTCTATCAAGAAGACACTAAATCAAGTTTGCAGCGGATGCTTTTTAACCCGCGCCCCGTTGGGCTCTGCCGAGCAACGCGCCCTGTTGGGGGGGGGGGCATTTTGGCCCCCCCCTAAGATCTCGAGAACCACGCAACCTAGCGACAAGCGGCAAACGGTGTTGGATAGCCCTATCAGGGAACTACCTTGTGACCCAATTTTATTGACCTAGGTCAAACCGATGACGTCACAGGTCAGGTCAAAGGTCCAATTTTCACCGTTTACAGGCATTTCAAGAAATGCGTTGTAAAATCGAGTAAAATGCATTTCATTGAAAGTCATCGATGGGGAAATGTTCTTCAAACACATATTTTGCTATTTGAGGTCACTGATATCAGGTCAGGTCACAGAGGTCAGGTCACGGGGGGGGGGGTCACAATATGAAAGTGTCGTGTGATACATGTTTTATGGTCAATTTTACATGACAAATGCTATTATGTGGGTCAGGCAGCCTTTGGGGCCAGCTTAGGTCACGTTTTGGTCAAGGTCAGGTCAAGGTCAGGTCAAATTAGGTCAAATTTCAAAGTTAATATTTTTGCATAAAATGAGTATCAAATCGATGCAGCTCGTCACGGGGAGTTCAATGGTGGTCTTTGTTTTGCCGTAAGTGGTCTAGAATCGCTAAAAATTGAGTTCAAAAATTTGACGTCATCATTTTTGAACAGTTTTTTTCGCTATAAGCCTATAACTTGACCGAAAAACGAGATATCGATCTAAAATTTGGTATGTATAAAGAAGAGCGCAGGGACTATCACATATATTCCTGTTTTTTTTCGAAATTCGGAAATTTTTTAGATTTTTTTTTGTTTTTCTAAAAAAAATCAAGTTTTTGAATATTTTGGGGTCAAAACCCCAAAATTTTGAAAATCCGAGATAACAGTTTTGTAGCGCCACTTCTTGTCTACTAGACCATATAAAGAACTTTGAAATTTCTTGATAACTGTAGATTTGGTGAGCGTTTCAAGATTACATGTTTTTTGCTCATTTTGCTCGAACATGACCTCAGTTTTACCTCAATAACTCCTGACCTAAGGTGAGCTAAGACTTGTAATTTAGTGTGAAGGTGTCAAATTGATGCCCGGGAAGGTACTGAAAATTTGGCGGCGCTGCGCGTCGCCGTTTTCTTGCTATTCAGGAAAAACCACAGGGGGGCCAAAATGCCCCCCCCCCAACGGGGCGAGGGTCGTTATCCAATCATTTTTCGCTTGACAACGCATTAACCATATATTTTTCTTGTTTTCAGGCAGCATCATTAGCTTTTGAGGATGCCGATCTAGCCACCAACTCGTCGCTGAACACTGATCAATTCGTGGAGGTCATCATCGTCCCGTCCAACATGTCTTCGGGCTCCCCTCGACAGGGACGCATCTTTCTACCCCGGCGAGGACTGGTCAGGACGTGTTTATCCGTTACAGCACAGCAAGATGGGGATAATGACGGCGTGACCCTGCAGCAGCTGTTGGACACCATGAACAGCAATGAGGCGGTGCTGTCCAATGGGCAGACGTCCATCCTACAAGCGATTGCCGGATTTTCAGATGGGACTAGTACCGCAAGTTGCGATCAGTCTGCTCTCACTGCTGGTCAAGCAAGTATTATGACGCAGATATCGAGCATCGATACTGAACTGGATCAACTCGGTGGTATTCTAACGGCGGTAAATTCAGCTAAGGATATGATACTTGCAGGTCAGGGAACAGTCAACACCAATATCGCTGATCTTGATTCTGATCTAGAGACAGCGAAATCGATGATCATTGCTGGCCAAAGCACGATCAATACCAACATAGCAGGCATCTCAACAGAGCTGTCTATCGCCAAAAGTATGATTTTGGCGGGACAAACTGCCATCAGCAGTTCAATTTCCACTCTCTCGAGCGGTCTTGCAACCGCCCAAACAACGATTACAGCTGCCATCGCCGATCTCGACAGCGATGTAGCGGCAGTCAACACAGCAGTCTCTGACGCCAAAACAATGATCCTCTCAGGTCAATCTACCATAAATACGAACATTGCCGACCTGGATTCTGATTTGCAAACGGCAAAAACGATGATCATCAGCGGACAAGGCACTATCAATACCAACATTGCAGGCATTTCAACAGAGCTGTCTACCGCCAAAAGCATGATTTTGGCGGGACAAACTGCCATCAGCAGTTCAATTTCCACTCTCTCGAGCGGTCTTGCAACCGCCCAAACAACGATTACAGCTGCCATCGCAGATCTTGACAGCGATGTAGCGGCAGTCAACACAGCAGTCTCTGACGCCAAAACAATGATCCTCTCAGGTCAATCTACCATAAATACGAACATTGCCGACCTCGATTCTGATTTGGAAACGGCAAAAACGATGATCATCAGCGGACAAGGCACTATCAATACCAACATTGCAGGCATTTCAACAGAGCTGTCTACCGCCAAAAGTATGATTTTGGCGGGACAAACTGCCATCAGCAGTTCAATTTCCACTCTCTCGAGCGGTCTTGCAACCGCCCAAACAACGATTACAGCTGCCATCGCAGACCTTGACAGCGATGTAGCGGCAGTCAACACAGCAGTCTCTGACGCCAAAACAATGATCCTCTCAGGTCAATCTACCATAAATACGAACATTGCCGACCTCGATTCTGATTTGGAAACGGCAAAAACGATGATCATCAGCGGACAAGGCACTATCAATACCAACATTGCAGGCATTTCAACAGAGCTGTCTACCGCCAAAAGTATGATTTTGGCGGGACAAACTGCCATCAGCAGTTCAATTTCCACTCTCTCGAGCGGTCTTGCAACCGCCCAAACAACGATTACAGCTGCCATCGCAGATCTTGACAGCGATGTAGCGGCAGTCAACACAGCAGTCTCTGACGCCAAAACAATGATCCTCTCAGGTCAATCTACCATAAATACGAACATTGCCGACCTGGATTCTGATTTGCAAACGGCAAAAACGATGATCATCAGCGGACAAGGCACTATCAATACCAACATTGCAGGCATTTCAACAGAGCTGTCTACCGCCAAAAGTATGATTTTGGCGGGACAAACTGCCATCAGCAGTTCAATTTCCACTCTCTCGAGCGGTCTTGCAACCGCCCAAACAACGATTACAGCTGCCATCGCAGATCTTGACAGCGATGTAGCGGCAGTCAACACAGCAGTCTCTGACGCCAAAACAATGATCCTCTCAGGTCAATCTACCATAAATACGAACATTGCCGACCTCGATTCTGATTTGGAAACGGCAAAAACGATGATCATCAGCGGACAAGGCACTATCAATACCAACATTGCAGGCATTTCAACAGAGCTGTCTACCGCCAAAAGTATGATTTTGGCGGGACAAACTGCCATCAGCAGTTCAATTTCCACTCTCTCGAGCAGTCTTGCAACCGCCCAAACAACGATTACAGCTGCCATCGCAGATCTCGACAGCGATGTAGCGGCAGTCAACACAGCAGTCTCTGACGCCAAAACAATGATCCTCGCGGGACAAACAACGATCAACAGCAATATTGCAGACCTCTCGACTCAACTCACCACCGCTGTAAACGGGTTTACGACGCGGCTGAACACCATCGACACCAAACTCGACGCTCTTGAGACTGGCCAGCAGGAGATTTGCGACAAAATCGAGGCCCTCGACACCAAGCTCGACACCATCCTCGCCAAGCTGATGGACGGCATGACGACGAGCTGTCCCGACGGCGCCGTGGCGAGCGGTGGCCAATGTTTCACCATCTCCACGGATAAAGACAGCCTGGAAGACGCAGCTGCAGCCTGTGAAACTAACGGAGGAAAGCTAGCTACTATGACAGCTGAAAACGCAGCCGTCATCTACGGTCTCGCAAACAGCGTGTCAAACAAGAAGGTCTGGATTGGGCTAGTCACAGAAGCTGGAGCCTGGAAGTGGGAGGACGGAAGCGCTTACGGCGCGTTCTTGGACTGGGAAGGCGGCACGGAGCCGGCTGCCAGTGATATGCGCTGCGGCGAGGCGGTCGCGACGTCCAGCACCGAGGGTAGCTGGAATTCACAGCCGTGTACGTCTAACAGGAACTTTATCTGCTCTAGCGCTGCCACGTAGGTGATGTGTGTGTGTGTGTGTGTGTGTGAGAGAGAGAGAGAGAGAGAGAGAGAGAGAGAGAGAGAGAGAGAGAGAGAGAGGTGAATAGAGGGAAGTGCGTTGTAACAGTAAATATTGTTGGTGCTGCTATTGTAGTAGCAGTGTTCGCCTTTTTTGTTGTAGCTTAAAATCTGTCAATCCGTATCAGAACAGCTCTTCTGATTAAACATAGTTCATAATCATTCACTTATCGTGTCGACCGTTGTCATTGCTACTGTACATATAAGATCTGTTGGTAAATTTGTCATTAGCTCCTTCCATTCCACGTGAATGACGACGCGGAGCTACTTTTGACGGTTACATCGATATTGTGTCGCTGTTCCACGCGTGAAATTGCTTGCAATAATAAAATGACTTGGCTACATCGGTTTTGTTGGTAAAGCAAGCGATAGTGCTTTTCTAAAGCAATGGATCTAATTCGAGCTAATAGTGACACTGCTGATGACTCTCTCGCCCGCATTGGTGTTTTGCCAGCCTTGTTTTTTTGCCATTGTCCAGGTAGGGGAGGGGTGTTCCGTTGGACCCCTCCTTGCCGTTCGACCCCTGATAGAGTTAAGATAGAGCTGATAAGAGCTACCACATAAAAATGAGGTATTGGGACAACTTTTCTCTCAAATTATTTGTCTGTCTATTTCGTGGTAAATGCAAATATCGTGGTAAATGCAGAAGACAATAGTTATGAATATATTCGTGAGAAGAATGTTGACGCGAGGAAGAAATTCACGTCAATATGTAATGAAAATAACATAATTGATACATGGCGACATAGCCCAACGCAACAACCAGGGAGGTATCCAGGGGGGGGGGCGACGGGGGCGGTCGCCCCTCCCTGGGACCTACCGGGCCCCAAAAACGGACCCGGCAGGGCCCGCTAGGCAGCCCGAAAGCGGGCCCTAAGGCCCCGCTTTTGGGCCTAGCCAAGGATAGTTTTGGGCCGGCAGGGCCAAAAAGCGGAAGGGCCTGTTCAGAAGGATTTGTTCGAGCCTTCGGGCTCAGTGGCCCCTGGGGCCCTGCCGGGCTACAAACTGGTCCGTAACTGGGCCCTTCGGCCCCACTTTTGGGCAGAGCCAGGGTAATTTTGAGCCCGGCAGGGCCCCAAAAGCGGAAGGATCCGTTCAGAAGGATATACTCGAGCCTTCGGGCTTGAGGGTATGACTGCAGGGTACGGCCCTGCCGGGCCCCAAACTTTATCAATTTTGAGCCCCAAACCCTTCTCGGGCCCGATGGTCCCGCTTTTGAGCCCTGGAGAAGCCCAAGGGCCCTGGAGAAGCTATGGAAAGCGGATCCGAAAAAATCCTTTTCCGGGCCCAGTCACAGAGACATTTTGGCCTGTCCGGGCCCCAGAAGTGTCAAGGCCCTCTGAGAAGATCTTGCCCAGGCTTTCGGGTCAAAAAAGGGCCCCATTGCTGGTGCCCATACCGGTCCCTGGCCGGGCCCCAAAAGCGACCGGGCCAAGCCAATGACATCCTGGGGCCCGGGAGGTCTCCAAAAGCGGAAGGGCCCGCTCAGAAGGCCTTGAACCAGGCTTTTGAGCTTAAGTGATGGGCCCTTGGGCTCGACAATGTACCTATCGAGAAAACGGGCCCAGATATACGCTTCCGGGCCCAGTCTCAGGAACAGGTTGTCCTGGCCGGGCCCCAGAACCTTATGTAAGGGCCCGCTGAGAAGGTCTTGCCCAGGCCATCTGGCCCGAGGAACAGGCAACAGCCGATGATGGGCCCCTTTCGACTGACCTCATGGGGATGCTCCTGTTTACAGTTCTCCAAACAAAATGATCTCCATAGTTCGTACCTGCTACTATACGCATTCTGTACAGAACGTATCATTTCCAATTCAAATGTTTATAGCCCTGTAAATTCTACGCCGTAATTGTCCGGAACATTTTTCTGTATCTTCAAAGCTGTGTGAGAAACTTTGTTCCTTCGACGCGGCCAGACCGTGGCTGCACCGCCGGACCCGGCGGACCGCGGCGACCGCACCGCACCCCACCGGCTGATGGGCCCGGCGCGCCTTCTAATCTGTTTCCACAACATGGGAACGCGAGAGTTCAGGCTAAAACTCCGCAAACATCTTCTGGCAAAACAACAAAACGAGTAGCGCGATGTACAAATGTGATGTGAGCTGAGTGTGTGTGCGTGAGTGTGTGTGTTAGTTGTGCAACTGAATCCCGATGTTCCGTTTTTATGACATGTCAATCATAATAGCCATGTGTTCATGGACCGATTGCACGATGTGAATACATACAAATACATACATACATAATCTGCCGGGGGCGGAATGCGGCAGCGGCCGCGCACAACAACCGCGGGGGAGGATGCGGGATGACGGGAACCGCGAGCCGGCCCAGCAGCGTGACCAGCAGCAGGTCGACAGACCCGAGCTCCTCCGTCGGCGCAGCGGACCACGCCGGACCTCCTGACGCCGCCCCTGCGACATCCATCTCCGCCATCTACCTGGCCGGCCGACTCCCACCGTTCGGCGCCGCCTGCCGCCGGAGGGCAACAAACAGCCCCACCACGATTGGGGCAGGCCGGCGACCGGCGAGGTCGTTGCCACGGCGAGTCGTTGACCTCTTCTACTACGGTGTTCTGAGTTCAGTAGCTGTTCTGTTCTGCTCTGTCCTGTTCTGTCCTGCGCGCTAGCTCTGTCCTGCGGGACTAGCCCTGCGTGCCGCGCCCGAGGCAACTGCTATCCGCCGGGGGCGCCGATAAGCTGAGTCCCGCAGTGACTACTCCGGTTCAGTTCAGTTGAGTCCAGTCTGGAGTCTCGAGAGTCTCTCTACACTGGGGAGACATTGGCACCTGCCCCGTGAATTGTGGTTGAGTGCGCTGTCACACCGATAATGTAAGTAGTTGATGCTGAGGCTCAATTGGGCCTCATCCAGAATTGGAGGATCAAAAGCATGCGATAGAATGCTTTTGCATCCGGAACTTCCAGGAAATTCCCATTGGTGGGTCGCTAAAAAGAGTTCGGCTGAGCCAAGGCTGAGCCTATAGTGGCTGAGCCTGTTTGTCATTATGTATGTGAGTTTGTCCAAGCTTTTTTGGACCTGGAGTCAAAATGGGCGGACCGATTGGGACGAAAGTGGGACCGTTCGACTCGTCTCCGGCGAGGTAAACTTGTGGTGCTGGCATTGGGTGCTGGCCTCGGTTCGCTCGGTGTTTCGTGGCACATGTTATTCCGCTTCAAAGTTTCGGTGGCACGAAATTTTTGGCAAGGCTACAGGTCAACCCGAGGTCACGGGCAAAGCCACACTGGCGGGACACATCGTTAACACCTTGAACCAGTTTCCAGGGGGTCATCGTCTGCGAGGGGTGCAAGCTGCACGTGCTGGGGGCGGAAAGCTGTTTTGACGTGGGGTCCCCTGACTCAAAGAAATTTTGAGCCAGCAACATCAAAATCGGTTCATTGGTAGTCCTAGGCAAGGCCCCCAAAATAGTGCACATTTGGTTGAGCTAAACTCTGTGATGCATGAGCCCTACGCACGTGTAAGCTGATTGCACCCCCTCGTACGTACGTTGCCACGCCTGCAGAGTAAACGTCAGCTCTAATATGGTCAGTGTTCATCATCATGTGTGCTGATGTAAATAATTACTTTGAAAACTTGCACAGTCTCTTGTGGGACACATGGTGGGGGAGAAAGAGAACGGTGAACTGAACTGAACGGCACCGAACTCGGCAAACGTAAATTAGAACGGCTCGGAAGCACAAACAATCGCTACCTTTTAAACGTCGACACGCCACACTACCAACAGTAATCCCAACGTAGCAATGATAGTAAAAAGGAACGTAACAACACATAGAGAAGAAAACAGTTTCACAGCTGTAGGCCTGACAGCTCTTCCCGCGAAACATTTTTAGGTCGAAAATCACAGAACATGACGTCATTCTGACGTCATTTGTGCACAAACTATCATAGCTTCTGGGAATTTTTTGGTCACAATGTGTAAAATTGATGCCCGGAGGAATCTTGAAAGTTTGGTGACGATATCTGCAGTCGTTTAGCCTTTAGGAGATATCTACGAAAAAGGACAGGGAAAGAGGGGCGTTTCGCCCCCCTCTGCCCACACGAAGCGAGTAAACGAAGTTTAAAATGAGAAATTTATGCTTAATGAGTATTCAAATAGCTTTGTGATTTTCAAAGAATATTGCGCAAAACAGCAACGGGCCCATTTTTGTTTGAGGGGGGCCCATTTTGCTGGGGGGGGGGGGGGCATCTCGAACGCCTCTCACCCCCGTCGCCAGAGTTCTTGCTGCGCCCCTGAATTTGACCTTTTTTTACCTGAACTCCACCAGAAAGTGACCTAAACCGTACCTGATGGTCTTATAACCCGCGCATGACTGGCGTATTTTCCATAACGCGAGTGACTGAGGAGGGGGGGGCTCTCCAGAGCCCCCCTCCTATCTCCGAAACTACTGGGCCGATCGTCAAAACTCAAATGGCGTCTGATAGCCCTGGAAAAACTGTCGAGCGACACGTCGAATGAACTATTCGTTGACCTTGAAAGGTCATTTTTAACATTTGACCTTAGGTCAAGGTCATGACCTGACCGGAAAGGGTCATGCTGCATATCAGCCGATCCGTATGGTCGAGCTGAACAGATCTGACGTGTTTTCACCGCTCTGGCACGTCTCCATCAAAAGTTATGGCCACAAAACTGCTGGTGACCGTTCATGACCTGAGATGATCTCAGGGGCATACGAAGGGGTCACAGGTGCAGTTTTCCGATTCAGTGTGTTATGTTTACGCATAAACCGATGTTTGAGAGCGTTTTGAACGACATTCGTCCAAAAGAGGCACATTTCAATTTTCTCCCATTGACTTATGGTCACTTGACGTGACCTGGTGACCTGACCTTGAAGACCCGGGTATGTGATTTTCACAACATGTGCGGAAATGATGTATGAACAGGTGTACCAAAAACGGTGGCGCTGCAATTTCAAAGTTCTTTATATGATCGTGTAGACAAAAGGCGGCGCTACAAAACTGCTATCTTGGATTTTCAATTTTTGGGGGGTTTTGACCCTCAAAAATTCAAAAAATTGATTTTTTTCGAAAAACGCAAAAAAAAATCCCAAAATTTTTCCGAATATAATAAACCCGGAATAAATGTGACAGTTCCTACCCTCTTCTATTTACATACCAATTTTTAGATCGATACCTCATTTTATGGCCAAGTATTAGCAAAAAAACGTTCAAAATTGATGACGTCAAATTTTTGAACTCAATTTTTGAGTTCAAAGACCACCATTGAATTCCCCGTGACGAGCTGCATCGAATCAATACCCATTTTATGCAAAATATCAACTTTGAAAGTTGACTTAATTTGACCTGACCTTGACCCGACCTTCACCAGAATATAATCTAACCTGACCCAAAAGGTTGCCTGACTCACATAATCGTATTTGACATATACAATGGACCATAAACCGTGCATCACATGATATTTTTATATTGTGACCCTCAGTGACCTGACCTCTGTGACCTGACCTGGTATCAGTGACCTCAAATAGCAGAATATGTGCTCGACGAACATTTCCCCACCAATGCGGCGAAAATTCGACATTTGACCTGACCTGTGACGTCATCGGTTTGACCTAGGTCAATGAAATTGGGTCACAAGGTAGTTCCCTGGTAGGGCTATCCAACACCGTTTGCCGCTTGTCGCTATGTTGCGTGGTTCTTGAGATCTTAGGGGGGGAGCAAATTGCCCCCACCCCTAGAGCACTTCACGGATAGGCTTTTTAGGATCCGGCCCGACCCATATCCGGCAAGTCATATCCAGATCCGCCCATTATCCGCCTTTCTTTGAATATTAGAATCCGGCCCACCCATGGCCCGTATTGCAGCCAAACTTCCAAAAAATATCCGTAATAATCCGTTTCACCAATAACTGGTTTCACCCAAAACTGGACTAACAAATTCAATCTAAGGGACCAGACAGCCATGCATCTCATAGACCATCATGGTTCCAAAAACCATGCATACATTGCATACATTATCCACTTGAAGACAAGTCTTGTGACAAGTGAGTGTCATAAAATGATGCCTATTACTTTAATCAAACCTCTGCTGCCGCTTAACACATTAGGTTAATTTTTAACTTCAATGTTGAATGTTAAAATTTTGATCCGTTTTGATCCGGGTTCAACCTTCAATTCCCAAATCCGGCCCGCCCATATCCGTTCTTTTTTAACAAATTTAGAATCCAATCCTATCCGGTCCGCGGATTTATCCGTGGATAACGGATTTATCCGGCCCATGAAGTGCTCTACCCACCCCCCCAGCAGGGCGCGTTGCTCGGCAGACCCCAGCGGGGCGCGGGTTAAAGCGGAAATTGTTGGCATTTACATGTATTCCAAAGTGACGGTAAAGACGAACTGTATGGGCACATAGGTACAATATTAGGTGAGGAAATTTTCCCCAGGTTTAGGGCACAAATTATGGAGGGGCAAAATATATGTTTGCCACTCCTCCAAAAGTTTCTTAGGTGACGATGCTTCCTCTACCGCCCCGTATCCGTCGCCCCTAAAAGCGGCCATTTAACCCAGCAGTTGCTGGGGTATTTCGCCACCCACAGTTTGCTGAGGGGGGGGGGGCGTTAAACGCCCCCAGCCGATAACTCGAGAACCAATAGGCGCAGCGAAACACACGAGGCGACAAACGAAAGAACGAGACGAGACGCTTCAGATGAGCACTTGAAAGTTGAATTTTGAGGTCACAGGTCAGGTCAAGGTCAGGTCAAACATCTGAAATCGGGCTTTCAGTAGCATGGACTTCAGGACTTCGCAATGGGCGCCTCTCGTCATAAACTCTGTCAAAACGGTACACAATCCATCATATAAGGCCTACAAGAGTGTCAGCTCCATGTAGGGGTCAGTCAAGCCCCCTAAGGTCAGGTCAACCGGGTAGGCACATATACCCGAAAATCAAAACTGATATTCGCAGCCTGTGACACATGTTTTAAGGGTAATTTGGGACGTAGAACACGATGGTGACATTCATTTCATCATATGTGTACGTGTTTGGCTCAAAAAGTTCAATTTAAGAAATGCATGTATCATGGTCGTGAAGTAGTCACGAGAAATTGCCAAGATTCAGTTCAAGATTTTGGTAAATGCGGAACGATAATCAATAATCGAAGATAGCCATTTGATTGTTTATGGTATTGACAGTCTAATGGCGTTTACGGCATGTCTGTATGTCTGTTCTGTGATTTTATGATTTTTTTAACATATGCCGTTTTGGTCGAAAACTCAGAAATCATGACGTCACTAAGAACTCGATATCTCAAAAATTTCCGACCGACTTTTTGAAACTTTATCACAATAAACTTCGATCAATTCCCTACAGGTACCCAAAATTTGGCGCCAAGCGCTTGTCGAAAGGCAACGTATGATAAAGTATATGGGCATCTGATAACATCTTCAGATGATCGAACACAATTAATACATGGCTTCTTGTCAAAGTTTTATGTCACAAATTATGGGAGGGGGGCATAAAGATACTTTTTACTTTTGCCCCACCCCCCACCACGAGTTTGCCAGGGGCAGCTGCCCCCTCTGCCCCCCCCCGAATCCGCCGCCCCTGCTGTCTTCCCTAGATCAGATAGATGTCGCTCCCTCGGTCAGATAGCTGTCGTCCCTAGATCAGGTATAAGATTCTCGATCCGGCCCTCGGTCAGGTAGGTGCCATCCCTCAGCCAAATAACGCCATTATTTGGCCGAGGGATGCCGCTCTTCCAACCGTAACGTATTTCTTTTGATCGAAATGTCAGGCGAGTGTCATGTTGGCCTGACTAAGTCAACTTTTCTAATCTTAGCCTTTCCTGAAGATACCTCAATGAGGTTCCCCGCTCTCAAGTCTCGTACCTACCTGGAGTGGTTGGTAGCAAACTGGTTATGGATGAGCACCTTCTCGTGGAACGGGCGCGCCCTCTTCTTCCGCACCAGCTCCAACAGACGCTCGGCGCTCTCCGGAAACCTCTCCCTCTCATCCACCTCGTAGGTTGGCACAACAAACACACAGCGCCAGCAGGAGTGGGCTGCGCGCGACACCAGGAACTCGTCCAGCGCGCTGGCGGCACCGGCTACCGGAACCACGTCTACGTCCACCACCCACACAAACTCCGTCAGCGAGGCGTTCCGCGCCAGGTTACGCAGCGTGTTCTGCGGATAGGGCATCTTCTGCCGCCAGGCGGTGACGCTGGCCGGCCGCCGGCGCAGCACAGACGAGAGCGTCTCGCGCGTGGCGCCGCACGGAGACGAGGCGAACTGGCCAGAGCCGCCCAGCGGCCGCGGAGGTCGGTTCACCGGCACCAGCAGGCTGAACGTCACTCTCTGTCGGATCACTGCGTGACAGCGGCGCAGGTAGGCCACGAACGCAGCTGCCAGCGGGTGTTCCACGTCAGGTGTGAACAGCGCCACGGAGACGGGGCCGTCCCAGTGGTTGACCAGCTCGGGGAGCAGAGCCAGCCGGTCCAGTGAGGCCTGTGTGGCGAGCGTCACCCGCCGGGCGCCGGTCAGTGCCGCTTCCCGCTCGGCCACCACCGCCCGCGGATAGGCCATCCACTGCTTGGGGTTCGCCCAGCTGCCACCCATGGACGGCAGCCGCTGGAGGGGAGGCGGGGGCGGCGGCGGGGGCTTCTCAGTCACCTCAGCCCCCACGACCCGCTCCACCCTCCCTCCTGGGCGCCGCTCTGAAGCGCCCTCTCGCTGCGGAAGGCCGGGGGTGGGTGCTTCCTGCGCCGTCTGGCTCTCCTCATACGGATTGCGGATGGTGGTGACGTGAAAGAGCAGAAGCAGAGAGAAAGCAAAGACGAGCAGAGGAGACAGCTGATGCCAGATCCAGCGGCGACACAGCAGCTGACGCAGCAGAGACGGAGAGCGGTTCATCTGGCAGAGCAAAGATGGACATATAGGTATAACAGAGCAGAGACGAACACATCTGACAGAGTGCAGAGACGGACACATCTGAAGACACAGACGGACACAGCTGAGGACACGAGACGGACACATCTGAGGACACGAGACGGACACATCTGAGGACACGAGACGGACACATCTGGGGACACCAGACGGACACATATACAATGTTTGTTGTACAATGTATGTTTGAACGCGTTTCCTCGCCCGCATTGGCGTTTTGACTTGCCCATGTGCGGGAGAAGAAACACGTTCAAATGACCATCTTTGTTCAAGCTGACGCTATCTCATTGTTGATGGCGGAATGATCATGTGGATGTTGTCTTAGCAATTGATGGGCAGAAAAATGAAGGAAACAAGACAGCCTGCCTGAAATTTTTTAGAAAAAATTTCGTGATCATGTAACCCTCGCATGTGTAGGGGGGGGGGTCGGAAGGACCCCCCATGGTTTTTCGCGAGTAACTCACGTAAAAATCGTTTGATTGCAATGAAACTTTCAGTACTCTCGAGTTGATCAATTTTACACCTACTCTGAAAATTTCATGACCCTGACCCAAGTGACCTTTGACCTGTGACCTATTTCTCGAACACATGTTTGGCCGGAATCGCGATTCGGCATATGTCGGCTCACATAAGTCGCGCGTTTGCAAGCTTCTCGTGGTTTCAAACGTTCAAACATGTGATTTGATGCTGCTCCCATGCATTTGGGTGGATGTCAAGGTCACCTGAAGGTCAGGTCAGGTCATTGGCCTTTGGTGACCTCGGTTCACTTTTTCGAGCTATACATGTTTCTAGGCTAGTTTTTGGACCTGAATTCGAATTTAGAAACTATTTGAACATTAATTAACGAAGTAGTTTTGGTGCCTTCGTAACATGTTACGAACCTGCCACAGACGGTTGACACGTACTACGAATAACCGTCACGACCCCTACTGGTTGACCTGACCTGACCTGACCCGACCTGGTCCAAATGCTTAAAGACATCATCTGTGATCAAAACTAGCACGATATTCGTGATCAGCACCCCGAAAAGCCCCTTAGCAGCCACAGTTTACGACTTTCTAACAGGTCCCGATATTCCCGATTTTTGGGCCATTGACCTGACCTGGAAGGTCAACCAATGACCTAGGACCTTAAAATTGGGTATCATCGGCTTCCTCCCGTCACGGGCAACACGCTCGTTTTTTCCGTAGCCCAACCAGGGGCCAAACGGCAAGGGGGGTCCAACCGCCCCCCCCCCCTACACATTAGAAGCTGGCAAACGCCGCACACATGCGAGGGGTAATATTGATAAAACCAGGTATACACTATCCACGATAACACACTCATTCATTTTTTTATCTGCTGCCCTCCTGATGTTGAGTGATGTCCAGCAAGAGTCGTCGCCTTTTAGCCGCATAAGCTTCACCATTCAATCAGCGACTGCTAGCGCAAAGACTAGCTGGGGAATCTGAGTGTCATTGGGGACATCTCGCAGAGTTTCAGATACACTCACATTTTCTACATTTTCACTCACTCACACGTTTCCACTCACTTTTGTAAATCTCTCCACAACTGGTCGATGGCTCTTGTCACCTGCTGGGAATCTGTGCACAATGGAGACGTCGATACACTCCTCGCGTGCAGCGGGGGGGGGGGGGGGCGCACTGTGGGGTCTTTGCCCCTCCTAGCACGACACTACTGCGGCGGCACGCCGCAGTCAGCTGACCGCCGCGGCGCCGGGCAGCGCGGCGGAGCGCTGAGAGCCGCGCGACATTTTCTGCTTTGATGTCTCGTAGTAGCTGTTTGGGCAAAATTGGGCAAAAGATAAGAGTTGGTTCCAATGCAGAATTTATGGGAGAATATTTTGATATGTGTTTCCACGCGTAACTCCTGCGGCGGTACGCCGCAGTCAGCTGACCGCCGCGGCGCCGGGCAGCGCGGCGGAGCGCTGGGAGTCACGCGACATCTTCTGCTTTGATGTCTCGTAGTAGCTGTTTGGGCAAAAGTGGGCAAAAGATAAGAGTTGATTCCAATGCAGAATTTATGGGAGAATATTTTGATATGTGTTTCCACACGTAACACCGCGTAACTCACTTTGTAAGGCTATGATTTGCTGAGTCAAATCTCCGAGACAAGTGGCATGTTAACATTTTTTGTATTTCATTCAAAAATCATACCTTTGGATTATTTTTCGAACTTTTCATGCATATGCTCGTATTCCTCATTAAATACAGATTATAAAAACATGTCGCAACATCGAATTGGTGCTTGATTAAACGAGTGAGCAGGCGTTCCGTCGTCATGTAATTTTTCGCCTTATCCTAGGAGCACGGTGCTAGTCAGCGCAACCCTTCACTTTGTGACGTATTTTGATGTGTAAGTCATCATTTTTAAAGCGATTTAAGGTCGGATTCGGATACACTGGACAATTCTGCGTAGAAAGAATATAAAGAAAGTGGATATCAAAATACTCGTATTTGCCACTTATGTCGTGCTAGGATCGCAAAAGTCCCCACGGTGGGGCGGTTGCACAGTGCACACTCACCTGCGCTGACGTGCGCTGAGCCAGTCAGCTATTTCACCGATAGGGCCACACTTGGCGGTAGCGGCGGACGCGTTGGCCCGCGCTGTGTCGTACCGTGGTCTGCACTAAACCGACAGACTGGTGGCACAGTCGGTGTAGTGTACCCCTAGTCGGTGCACCCCCCAAACACGCACATACCCCCGTCCTCAGCTTGGTCGGCCCACCTAACGAGCAAGGGGGGGGCGTCAGGAGGTAGATCGGCGAGAAAAATGTCGTGCACCTCAGGTTAGAAGGCTAGCTACGAGTATGAGGAACGCGATCGCATGGTCTGTCGGCCTCAGCTTGCCGTCCTCCAAATTATTATTATTATTATTTTAATTATTATTATTAGGTATTATTTCAAGTGAGCGATGGGTCTCAAAACTCAATCCCGGTACTAAATGGACTGTGGATCGACCGACACAGTTGGATAGTAATCACGAGCCTTGAATCAACTGAACTTGAATATACATATGTATGTGGAACATAATAGGTACATTTATAATCGCAGACACTTCAAGATCTTATGCGCCTGCGAACTCGGTCACAACAGCATAACGCGTACCTTCCGTGAGTCCAATTCAATTACCTGAGGTTCCGAGCCACTCGAAAAGTGTAGTGAAATTGATTAAGGATGAAACTTATGTCGTCAGCTGGAGCAGGACCCTGTTTTACCTTACGCCGCTACCCGCCGCTCCGCTTCCTGGTACTTAAACAGCAGGGCCCAGCCATCCTGTCACCGTTCCATGCTTCTATCCTCAGGATACTGAAATCCTTCTCCTCCACGCCACAAACCCCTCCGGGCTGGACAGGCAACTTTATCTCATGCGGGCTGCTCCCTTGGAGCGGCACCGCTGCTCCCGAGGGAGCGCACCCCGTAGCCGGGTGCAGTGAGTGCCTTGGGGCTGGGTGGCCTGTCCTCTGGACGGGCTCAGCCCCGGCGACTCACTAGGGTGCCTGCCCAGACCAATGTCTCCCCCTACATTCTATCATCCTCCCGGCTCTGAAATGGTCTTAAAGGGACTATCCCACCTTTAACATGGGGTTTGAGTTGAGATAGCCAAGTTTGCGGCGAGGTTCAGAAACCACTATCTATCTAGGTTGCAACCCCCGCGGCCTCTTGGTGTTGAAGAAATTCGTTCCCTTCATTTGAAAATGGGCCTTGTACAAGGCCCTATCTTCAACATGGAGCGACCGTTAGTGTGACGTCACCTCGTTTAGTCATTCTGATTTAAATGGGTTTGTTCGTTGAAAAATCGCTTAAAACTTGGTCTGAACTTTGTTGTGGTGCCTACAGAGTAAAAAGAATCAGCTTTATGACAGTAATGTGGCCTGGGGAAGGAGGTAATTTTGGGCTGTGACGTCACATATTTGAAAGTTTGTGTTTGGAATATGGGAAGCCTAAGATGTTTAATGAAAAAATAAATGCCAGAGCCGTGTTCCTGGTCATCCAATCTATAAAGTCGGGCACAATTTAACTGGTTTTAACAACATTTTAGAAGGTGGGATAGTCCCTTTAATGGACCGAAAGGGCCTAACCCAACAAAACAAACAAGCCATCCTGTCCTCACTCCTGGCGGCGCCTCTGCTGCTGATCTATGCCACTGCAGTCCTCATATCCTCACTCCTGGAGGCGCCTCTGTTGCAGTAACCTCAGCGGCTCGGCCGGCGACATTTCTATGGGTCGCCGCCTGCCCCCCATGGTCTCCTTCCGCTACAGGCCATTTCATGGTCGGTACACGTATGACCGACTTTGTGGAGGTAGTGCTGTAAGGCCCACCGGGTGTCTGATTTATAGGGTGGAAACATGCCGAACGGTGCAGTAGCACGTACCCCGCTACCCGGCTGCAGTCGGCCGCAGGACAGTGTTCACTGCTGCACGGCCGTGGTGGGAAGGAGAAAGGATTTAAAAAAGGGAAATATGCAATGTTACATAGTTATATTCATGTTTTAGATCTAGACATAGGTAAGCATATGAAGAAGGGGCGATGGAAAGTAAAGAGTATAATACAAAGTAAATAATAAAATATACCGCATATGTAGGCATAATTGCGTGGTTTCCTTCTATCGTTGGTAGCATTGCAGTGCTGTGGTGTAAAGTCTTAAACCGCGCCCCGCTGGGGGGGGGGGCAGAATCTGCCCCCCCTCCCGTTTTTCGCCAATAACTTCTAAACGCGTTACGCCAGCGACGTCAAACTTTCAGTACCTTATCATACATCAATTTGACACGCTCCCTGAAAATTTGAGCGAAATCCGTCGGAAATTTTTTGAGAAATTGACGTTTTAGTGACGTCATGTTCGCCATTTTCGCCTCAAAAACGGCAAAATTTCAAACGCCGCTAACATCTTCATTTTTAAAGGAATCAAGACGTAACAAAAAAGGTTATACGTGATTCTACTTTGTTTATCAAATGGCTATCTCGATGTTTTGAAAATTTTGGATTTTGGCCAGAATTTTTCCAAAAAACTGACTTTTTTGGGAAAATATTTATAAAATCCAAAATTTTGAGTTTGTCGAAAAAAAACCGAATATAAGAAGTGGTCTATGTGCACCTACATACCAATTTTTAGAAGAATCGGTTCAAAAATGTGGGAGTTATTCAAAATTTTATGACGTCACGACACACACAAATTTTGAAAAATGATTTTTGGAAGTTCTAGACCTCGTACGGAAACAAAAATAGCACCATTCGATTCGCCGTGAAAAACTGCATCGGATAGACACCTTTTTAGGCCTTGACAACCAACTTCAAAATTTGACCTCACTTGACCTGACCTTGACCTGACCTCGACCTGAAATTCATCCAGAGGTGGTCCATATCACTTATTGAGTGTGCCTATTGAATTCCATGAGTAAAATGACCCATAAAACATGTGTCGCACATGCCCTTTTCTATATTTTGTTTTTGGTGACCTGACCTGACCTGACCTGACCTTGACCTTGACCTTTGAATGACATTGTGTGCAACGAATATTGTCTTGGTAGTCTAAGAACACGTTTTGGGCAATCATTCTCTGTCCATTCTTCGGCAACTACGGTGCAAGGCCGATACTGTAGAAACTTGCATTTTGTACCCTTGACCTGACCTTGACCTGACCTCTGACCTACTTAAGCAAACAAAATTAGGCTCTTAAGATCCGCCTTGTTGAGAGCTTTCGATTGCCGTTTTCCCCGTCTTTCTACGACCATCGGTTCGGAAGTTAGACGGGGGGGGGGGCAGAATCTGCCCCCCCCCCCCAGCAGGGCGCGTATGGCTGAATAGCCCAGCGGGGCGCGGGTTAATTTCTATGTGCGGCACGGTACAGGACCGCATGGCGTGGAACTCCCCGCCAGCACGCATTGTCGGCTGTATTAAATATTGAGGCTCGTGGGACTGATCCATACCGAACATGGGTGCTGGAATGACCGATATGTGTGGAAAGTACGACAGTAGGGAACGACAGTAGAAGCCCGGCACCATGAGTCCTGACGTTGGATAGGTAGGCGGTGTATGCTAGGTATATTGGTCTGTTTTTTGGGATGCAATGGTCGAAATGGGACTGGGAAAATAGCCGTTTTTGCGGATTTTTTTTTTCGGTAATAAATTTGACTATAGAGTTACAACTTCACTTTACCAGCATCGTTTTTTTTTTCTCGTCGAGACGCGTCGAATGAACTATAATTTGAACTTGAAATGCCATCTTCTTAAAAATTTGCCCTCAGGTCAAGGTCATGACCTGACCGAAAAAGGTCACATTGCATATCAGTCGATCCGTATCGTTGAGCTAAACACATCCGAGGTGTTTTCATGGCTCTACAATCTACATAGTACGCCTTTATCAAGAGTTATTGTCAAAAAAACTGCTTGGGACCTTACATGACCTGAGATGACCTCAGGGGAACAAAGAGGGGTCACGGGTTCCATTTTCCGATTCAATGTGTCATGGTTACCAATTAGCCGACGTTTGGGAGAGTTTAGAACGATGTTCGCCCAAAAGAGGCGCATTTCAATGTTCTCCCATTGACTATACCCAGTGGAGGGGTTCCAAATTGACCTGACCTTAGGTCACACATATCGAAGCTCCGATATATACATGCATGTGCATGCATACAAACTGTTACTTTTATCAATCGCTGAAAGTTTAAAAGCGATCGTTCAGTCGGTGTAGCTAGAGCGAGTATTGGAACGTTTTCTGAGGTAAGGTGACTTGACGTGACCTGGTGACCTGACCTCGGACGACCCGGGTCTGAAGGTTTTACAACATGTGCAGAAAATATGTGCCGGAAACGGCGGCGCTTTGAGACATTCGCGTAAAACCTGAGGGGGAGGCGTAACCCCTCCCCCCCCCCACGGCGCGGGTTAAAGGTGAAAATAAATTGTCCTGACTTCTCATCATCCCTGATGTTACTATTGAAAATGACGAACATCTTCCGTTCACGTCATTACATACATATATGCGATATATATATGCGCAAAGCACACACCATCTATCTTCCACACATATCGTCTATCGTCTCCGGCACACCGCTCCCCTGTCGTCCTCCGACAGCCAGACAGTCACCTCCAGCCTTTCCCTGTTCGCGGTCAAACGGTGAGAACGAGGACACTCACGGCACAGCCAAAGACAGCCGCTGCCTCAGCGGCCGCGCCGACACCGGATTGGCCGGATTCGACGCTGGCCCCGCCCACGTCAGTGACATGCTAAAGGTCAGTCAAACGCACCAATCATCGCGAGCTGGTGTGTAAAACGAAACCGTCGATTGAGATTGCCTTTCTTTGAATTACGGCATGTTCATCAAGACGGCATGTCCATTATATTCATTCCAGATTCAGTCCGGCTTTGGGACACCTCGTATCCACCTATCGGCGCAAAATCGGCGAGTTTTTCCTACCAGACCTCTGAAGGTAAGTTTAGAGCTATTTTCAGCGAGGGACGCCGAATGGTTTGGGCCACGGACTTTCTACAAGGCTTCTGGTGTCCGCGAGTTTGATGTGGATCCGAGGCTCTTTGGTCGGGCAGGACCTAGTCCGAACTGAAGTTGGGCTTCAATGCATTTCTTCTTTTACAATTTACAGTGTTGAGGTCAAACGAATTACGAAAGTCGCCTATTCGCTATACGTTTACAGGAATAGCTATATACTACGGTCTAATGGATAGTGCCAGTGGGCTATCAAATGATACACTTGGGATTGCAGCTTTGCTTACTCGTACATTCAAGAACTTCTGTGCAAGCCTTTTACGACCTGAACCGTACATAACCTAGTCACCACGTGACCCTTAGAGATAAAATCGATAGTGGAAAAGTAGATCCAGGTCCCAGCGAGGCGTTTCGTGCCATTTTCGGCGCTCTAGCTCCTTTAGGTGGGCAACAAACAATCTGCTATGCAAATTTGGGGTTGATACCTTTGTTAACCTCTGTAGGTCAAACCAGGGTATATTGAGTGAATTGAGTATATGATGAAATAATATATTGAGTATATTGAGGGTCAAACTGTCAGGCTGGTTCAGGCCACGTATTCTTAAGCAGAAGGGCTATGCTCTGTGAAAGTTTCAAGTCGATCCTATGTGTACTTTGTGTAAGTTGTAACAAGCTAAAGAAGAAGAAAAATCGGCCACCATCGACACCGAAATTCCAGAGTAGCACACACAGGGTAGGATCACTTTCAATTCACCTTTATTCGGCAAGGAAAGACGGTGCGAACCAGTGAACTGTGAGAGTAGGCGGCAGCGGGCAGCGGCCGGCCCGGCAGGCGGCCGGGCGGGCGCACCGCGGCGGTAGTCGCGGGCGGCGAGGGTTACAGGGACGCCAGGACCACCTCAGTACCGCCCCTGGACAGTACCGCAGGGCCCCGCCGGCCGTCCGCCGGGCCGGCGCGCTGCATAAATAGGACAATGGCGCTCCCAGCAGTGTGATCGCCCATTCAACAGGGCTGGCCGGCGGAACAAGACTGCACGTCACGAGCACAGGGGCAGACACAACACGGCAATGGGGCCGCTAGCTACGGAGTAGAGGCTGCGGCGCGCTCTGCCCGGCCGGTGTCGCCAGGACGGTCCCACGCCGCGGACTGAGGGCCGCCCGGAGCCGACCGCTGCCCCGAGAGGGGCGTACAAAGTCGCCAAAACACGTGAAAAACGACGGCAGACCCGAGCCTGGACGCCCTCCCATAGTGACGGCCCACATTTGTGACTGATTCATGTATGTCCGCTCTCGAGGTGTTTTAAATAAACTAAAGCTACTGAATAATATCAACAAAAATATAATTGAACAATAAACACGCTCTGTGCGTTGGACGCCCAGCGGAACACAAGGTAACGTTTTCTCAAGTCGTTTAGACGCTGTCGCCCACGCTGTCCGGCGGACGCAGGGCACCGCGCGTCACCAGATCTGACTCGGTCACTGTCGACGCTCCCACCCCGCTGAGATGAACCCGTTCGGCCCACGACCCCCTCCAAACGCCCAACTAAATAAGGCACACGTCCCGCCCGCACGCCCGACGGCCGGCCCACCGCTCTGATAGATGGCGCAGCAGCGTGAAACCGACTGAGATAGAGGACGCCACGATACGCATCACCACAACAGGTAGCGCCACACGACACACCCGACTGAGATAGAGGACGCCACCAGTCACACGCTGCGTCACCACGCAAGCTGCCTCGATCACTGGACCCGACCGGGACACGACTGCGAGAACTTGGCACTGTGCTGGGCCGCAGAGGGCACCAGCAGTCCCCACGTCACCAGCACCACATCACCAAGGCTGCGGCACCAGCGGCGCGCGCCATGGCCCTTCTGGCAGTCTTCTGGGGCACCCTCAGACCGCATATAGTCCCAGATCGCCCTCAGGCCCAGCGTCCAGCAGTCACCCAAACCCGGCCACCACCATCCAGAGGTGCTGAGTTCGGCTCTTTGGCAGCGACAGGGGCTCGGCCACACCCAGATCCAGTCCTCCAGTCCGTATACACTACTGAGATTGGGGATCGCACTGCAGTAGTCGCACGATGGACGGGTCGCTCTTGGCGCCCTCGATAAACTCGTCTAAGCTGAGCCGGCCGTCGTGGTTTTTATCCATCTGCCGGAAGATTTTGTCGGTGCGCTTCTCTGGCGTGGACTCGTCCTCGGGCATCTTCATGACGGAGCCGACCATCTTGTAGATTGCCTGCCAAAGACGACGGGGACGGTTAGTGTCATATGACGGTCAAGGTCATATAGCGATCAAGGTCACATGGCTGTCAGGGTCACATAAAATTGAAGGTCACAGGACGGTCAATGTCAAAGAGCAAAACGCCGAGGATCACAGAACAAAAAAGAAAAGAATTTGTTACAGTTGTGTGACTGTCAAACGATAAAATAAAAACACTATCCTACAGGGTGGAGTGACCAACAAATTAAATGCATCCCCCTTCCCGCACACACATATTTACTGCTTTATTCAGGACACAGATATCTAAATTCAGCAATGCATCAGCCTCGGTTCCAGCCAGCTCGCTGCGTGAAACTGACATGTACAAACCATTCGCGCAAGTAATACGCAAAACGACATCGTGTTCAGCATGGGCTATTGCGTCAGCATGGCGTATGGGTAAATGAGAGGCGGACAGCTGCTAGTTGGAAATCAGCTCAATGTATCTGGGACATACGGGTGCACCTGTCACGGTACTAAATATCAATTCGATGCAGCGGACACGTAGAATTGGTTACGTACGAGCTAAATGGAGCGGGGTGACAGCGAAGTGGCCTGTGTTTAGAATAATGAGGTGTTTGTTCATGTGGGTCTGCATTTGAGTTAAAAATAATAACTTGCAGAAAAATGTGCGTATGCTTAACGAGTGCAAGTGTAACCATCCCGATTAGACAGTCATCGCCTGTAAAATAATTCTCAAGTCACCCCGCGACACTGAGTACCCCTACCCAACAAGACGGACTATTTCGTGTATCATCATTCTGCCAATCATGTCGGACCGAGCCGCTCGTGTCAGCTGGTAGACACATGTGACGGCTACCGTCAGCTGGACAAATACGTCACCTGGGCACATATGACGGCTGCCAACTGACATATGGCGGGCGACGATAGATAGGATTCTAGACAACGATACACCAACAGGGAATACCACAGCAAGAGAAGAGGTCCTTATAATTCGTATATGATGTAAGATAAAAACACCAAAACCACCCAACGTTTCGTGTTATTCACTTTTTCAAGGCAGAGGAAATTTGTGAAAAAGTGCCCGCGCTATATTCGAACGAAACCGAAAAAACGTACTTGACTCTGTAGGTAAAATGTGTCATATCACCCTTGAAAAAGTGAATAACACGAAACGTTGGGTGGTTTTGGTGTTTTTATCTTACATCATATACGAATTAATTTGTCCAATTCAAACAATCAACAGGTCCTTATAAACCTTACAGCTTGTTTCGCTTTTGTGAAGTTAAGCAGTGATCCTGAGGATGTTGCTGTTCGTGATAATGAGGAGGATGACGATGATGATGATGCCAGCTCACCGTGACGATCTCCAGCATCTCTGGCCGGCTGATGTAGCCGTTGCCGTCCAGATCGTACATGGAGAAGGCCCACTTGAGTTTCTGCTCGAGTCGACCTCTCGAAGTGACCGAGAGCGCGCACAGAAACTCCCGAAAGTCGATCGTCCCGTCGCCGTTGGCGTCAAACGTCCGGAACACGTGCTCGGCAAACTGCGGGAGGAGGGGGGCAGGTCAGAGGTCAGCGGGGGTCACATAGCACATGTCGAAGGTCACGTATCACATGTATGATGTAGGAGGCAGCAGGTCACATATCAGAGATCACAGGACACAAATCAGGGTCAAGGTAATGTAGGAAGACTGATTTTAGTGCCAGCGTTGGAGCCTGTGCGCTGATGCAGCTCGCACAAAAGTATACCTACATTAGGCAGCACTTGAAGTTGCAAATGCAAATGCCAACCCAAACCCTTTTCTACTTGAATAAACCAACTACTAACACGATATTGTGGATGTTTATCGATCGAAGATGATTTAAACAGCAAATCAAAGAAAACACACCACAAACATTATTTTACCTTTGACGCGTCTCCATATGGGAAGAAATTCCCATATATTTTCTTAAATTCTTCTACGCTGAGGTTTCCACTTGGACAGTCTTTCAAGAATCCCTTGTACCATTCCTGGATTTCAGCATCTGTGAAAAATGGGAGCAGTCAATTGACAGCAAAATGGTGCAGCACCCAATCACTAGGGAGGTTTTCCGCCAGTACAGCGAGCTTTCTTTTTTTTGTATAAATAAATCATACATTTTGATACACTAAAATTAGGTAATCGTGATTTTCTAATTCAGCTTTCTTAGCTCTTGCTAAAAATTCGCTTCATAAAAAACTTTCATCATGGACCAAGAGTGTCCGCACAAGCTTAGCAAAGCAAAGAAACAGAACCTCGATAGAACATGAAATATAAAAGCGGATGGGGATGCTATTAAGCAGTGCCCCCAAACTCCATAAGTAAATGAACTCCACATAGTGTTCGCAATGAATGCCAGAGAAATGCGTTATTCATAACGCACTTTCCTGCAAACCCCGCCTCTATGGAATATTGCCGACACTAAGCCATGGCTATTTATGGAATATCATAAATTCAAAAGCAGGTTGTAATCCGCTGTAAGGAAACTGCCGCGGCTGAAGCGTGGCTGGCATTCCAGGTGCCCGGTGTGAAACGCAAAGAACAATGTTGAAAAGGGTCATTTAAAAAGGTCTCTTAGCAACAAAAACTACAACAGCTAAATACAAAGTAACGGCATGTCCAGCACGCAACAAGAAGAACGCATCACAACGTGTAAGCGATTCTCTCTGTGGCAGTTGTGGCTCCATGTAAATATACCTCTTTCCAGCACAAACTAATCCAGAAACAAAAAGCGCGCTACTTTGACGCTCATCCCACAAACGCTCACCCTGTATCGGCTATATCTGTGTCTGGTGTATATCACAGCAGAGCCTGGCAAAACACTACGACCCGAAAGTCTAAGAACCCCGCATAACTCGCCGGGCCGAGACTGTGCATCATCCTTAAGCTCTCATCTCTGGGCGTTCGTAAGACGGACGGCCGCCCATTACCCATTCAGCTGTACCGCCGCGGGGCGGGGCGGGGCGGGGAGGGCAGAGCGGTAAATCTCGGAGGCGCTCGCCGGCCGTCCGTCTTACGGAGAATCACGGCTCGGGTGTCGGCCGAAAATGCGGCCATCCATACCTCTCAGGTCACCAAAGGCAGCTCAGACCGCCGATAAATAGAATACCTACAGCTGATGCTAGTGTATGAGCATGGTCAACGAACGACTCTTTGAAAACCAGACTGAATTTCAACGGTATTCATCAATGGCGGATTGCAGGCATTTAATGGTCCAAACAGCATACCTACGGGCAGCGTGTGGCGAAATCAGTTGTCCTCGAGAAAACCAGACCACACGAATGCCAGCGCATCTGCCGAAGTGTCACAAACACAGCGTTTCGAGAGCGCTGTCACAGAGCATCGGACACGTGACGTACGCCACTGAACACACATAAGTAACATAACAGTCACGTGACCACCGGGGACCGTCTGGTGTGTAGACCACGTGACCGATGGACCGTGGACAACAGTCGGCTGCAATCGCCACTAGAGTCGCCACAATAGGGTTGGGACCTATCTGCATGCTCTGTATGTTTTGGTAAAATAAAAAAGCTCAGAATTTTTAATGATTTAATTTAAAATCACTTTGTTAAAAAAATGCCTAGTTAGTTCAGAAATTAATTATTTGTGGCTGAAAACAACTTGCTTCTGATTGGTCGGGCTAATCATGACGTCACATGTAGGTATATAACTGTCTGTATATTTGGCGCAGTTGAGACATACATTTTCTATGTATTTTCCACGGTCATAGAATACTAAGGTAACACGGAGCCGAAGCTTCAAGCCAGGGGACACGGGAGGCATGCCGTCAGCTGTCCATTTATAAATAATCGGTTTCTTTGACTTAATTTCTAATGTTTTTCTGATGTTTTGCATCAATGAGGTACATCAAAAATTAAGTTTTAATTTTTTTGAGGTCGAAAATATTTTGTTGTCCAAACTATCCCCGTTTAAAGAAAATAGACAAGGGGAGAGTTTACCCAGGACCCTATGGAGAGAGTCAACCCAGGGCCCTATGGGAGAGAGTTAACACGTGCTTCTATGGGGCGAATTCGATGCAACAATGGCGCAGTAGCGACATTACTCTTGTTCGATGTTTTTCGGACGACAAAGATTCTACGCCATTCGGCCAATCACATTCCATAATTGCAGCCGAGCCCCCGTTGATCTAGAACGGGATTGGCCGGACGACGTACAATCTTCGTCGTCTGAGAGACATCGAACGAGGGGTACATCGACTGAACATACATTGCGATTCAATATTCAGTATTTTATGACCGTGATTGCAATCCAAATTTGCATTTGAGCTCAGCAGTCGAGTGTGGTGCCAAAAATACCAGAAGCGATGTCCTATATACGGCCTTGACCAGAAGTGTTGCATGCCCTGGATGCAGAAAAACAAGATTGAGATGAGTGGATCAAGATGTATCTTTCGTGCAGATGCATCAAGATCCTTTCACTTAAGATCCATGCAGGTGAGGTTCCAGTGAAATTTGAATTCGATAGGTAGCTATTTTTGATTTTGCTTTGATACTTGTGGTAAGGAAACATGATTATGGTTGCATGAACCGCCCACTGCTCATTGCTGTCTTGTCTCACGTTCGATATCCGATCACCATTCTTAAATAGCTCACCCCATATGGAAATCAGGTTTCAGGAGGCCACTAGGCTTGTGGGGCCTGGTCTCAATGAGCTCCCAGTGCTAAGGACAGTCAGGCTCATATGCTGGGTAAGGTCAGGTTCAGGTAGGCCAGTATGCACTCTGCAAAGCATGGCAATTTCGACAAGATCTCGTCTGTGCTGGCTTGTCCGGCTGGTGAGGCTTTGGTGTGGCGTGGATTTAGCTTGGTGCAGTGCGGATTTTGTGTAGCGCGGTGCAGATTTGGTCTGGTGTGGTCAGGTGGTGGGGGATGTAGTGTAGTGCATTTTAAATGTGGCTGATAGGTGTGCGGTGGTCAGAACGGACTGTGCCAGTGCTGGTGCCTGGTGGTCCCACCAATCACGGGGGTCATCTCCTGTTGTGACCCAGGGCCCAGGGGGTCTAGTCAAAACCTTACCTATTTCTGCTAACCTAAACCTATTTCTTACAAATTAGGCATAAATGTGATTATGGTATAATGATAATTAAACCTGGCCCTTTTTCAGGCGCAAGCTTTGGATGAACTTCTGCTTCTGCGGTCGGCATTCTTACAGGAGAACCCAAGATTCATTGTACCTACCTGTATGCATTTCAAAACTGAATAATTGATAGCAACAAGTAAATATTTGAAGTTGCAGCCAAATGCTGTGCCTTCTCTGCTGCAAGAGCTACATGTCACCATTGAAGCAAGGTAAGTGTTAAAAGAAATTGTTCACCTTCTGTGAGTAACTTGATAAATAAAATTTAAAAAGGTGTGTTAAAAATGTGATGAATAAAATTTAAATGTATTCTAACTTGGAATTACACACTTCTTCTAAAGGGATTTCATTATTTTAATGATAGTTATGAACACTTACAGCTGAACAACCTATCAGCTGCAAGGGATTCTGCTCCTGTAAGTGCTCTCATCGCTGATTGGCCACTGTGTGTGTTGAAGAGGTTTCTGCTTGCTGTAAATGAGCACTAGAACATTAATTTAAGCACCAATATTCACTGATAAAAGGTGAATATCTCAAACGGTTCAAATATAAGGCATACACAAATCTGCTCTATCAGACTGCTATCTCAGTTTAAAATCCCATGTTAAAGGTGAACTATTTCCTCGACAGGACCAGCTCGACTCCTGCAGTAGGAGTCCAGCCTCGTCCAGTCGTCGCCGCTCGCCAAGACCAGCCGGACTCCTGCAATAGGGGTCCAGGCTGACCCGTTCGTCCAGTAACCGCCGCTCGTCAGCACCAGCTGGGCTCCTGTAGTAGGGGTCCAGCCTCGTCCAGTCGCCGCCGCTCGCCAAGACCAGCTGGGCTCCTGTAGTATGGGGCTAGGATGGCCCGTTCATCAACCGGTCCTGAAGTCACATCGCCGTCAGCCAGCCGAACTCAGTACATAAGTCACCAACCCTGAATGTTGCCAGCCAAAGTCGGCAGTTTCCTTCGGACAGTCATCTCACCAGTGTTGTACAGTGTACGAGGTTAGTGACGCAGTTAAATGCGTCAATTAAATGCGAGGACGTGCGCTTGTATGCAGCGTTTTGTCATGTTGAGCTGCATGGGTGTCGATTTTCACCGAATTGAGGGTGCCCACTGCCCGGGCGCAGCAAATCCGCCGCTGCCTTAGCGGTGACCTTGACCCGCACCGTCTGTTGGGGCTCCAAAGCCAAGCCAGCCGAGCCGGCGGGGAATCTAAAGAGCTTGAGCACCCCCAACCCGGCGGAAATTGACACCTATGTTGAGCTGTATGGGTGCGTTTTAGCCTTCCGCCGTGGTGGTAAATAGCAGCCTACATGCAGAATTAGGCAGGCTTATTAGCGGACTCATTATTGGATTCATTGTGTCACGTTTGTCGGCACGTGTAAGATGTGCTTAACTGCCATTAGCTCTCGGCCTGGCGACTTCTGGGGACCACGTAATGGGGATGACAATTGGGATCCTGTGCCTTAAGCCGGCCATTTACGTCCATGGCTATATACCCCCGTACTAGGGCTAGTTATGACGTATATAGGGATCCACGAGATCTTTTTTGATGAATGTGTTGTGCAGTGTTGAGATCCGCGTGTAACGTCACTGTTTGGCCAGTCTGCCCTCAAACGCGTCATCTTTACTCGTATTTTATTTACTGAACGCTTTGCATGGTCCAGTGGTTTATATAGACATCTTCCTTGCACTAGCTAGTTTTATGTGGCCAGGTTGATTGCCTGTCAGCGCGGTCACGCTGTCGTCTTTCGATTGGTGCGCTTAAATGCGGCGAGATGAATATAGGATTTCCTTTGATGCCATTTAGTACCTGCGCCCAGCTCAACTGGGGAAGGGGGGGGGGCACTGCCGACTTTTGGTCCCATTCTTTCCATGTAACGCCCATAGAGCCCATTGTTAAAATGCCAAAATCAAAGGGGGGCACGGTGCCCCGGTGCCCTCCCCGTTCCGCCGCCTATGCGCGAAAGTACCAACTACCAACAGTTTCCAGTTGATTGTGTCCCAAAGTTTTTTATGAGTTGGACGATTGGGCTTTTCCCATCGCTCGTTATGCAATTATTTTGTTAAACGCTCTAAAATTGTTTCTCTACAAGTCATTAGAACTTAGAAGCAAATAGATATTGATGGATACGATCTCAAGGGGGCCGATAAGAAGGAAGAGCGCGCGGCGCAATGATTGTGGAGCACAGCACACGATTAATGTGAGGCGCATTTAAGCGAGAAATAACTTCATTGAACAGAAATGAGCAGAGTACCAGCATTGAAACTGCACCAGTACCAGCATTGAAACTAAATATAAGATATCTCAGAAGGTTGCGCTTTTGGGGCCGAGTTGTGGTGCTTTACGCCGTACATCATGCTTAAAGGGACCCTCCCACCTTAACATTAGATTTGAGTTGAGATAGCCAAAATGGGGTCCCTGGCTCACAATTACCGGTTTCGGCACTCACAACATCGAGAAATGCCTTAAATCGGAAATATTGAATTTCAAAATTGCAGCATTTTGATTCAGAGGGGCTAATGCTTAGGAATACCCCTCTGAATGTGTGACGTCAGCGCAAATATCTAACGATTTTTAAATGTTTGACTAAAACGTTTTGTAGCACGCGGTGGTATATGCTATTTGCGCGCAACATCTGCCGCAAACGCCGCACTTCTAAAATAAAGTCGCTAGAAACAGCGGAGATCCCAAAAAAGTAAACAAAAGTAAAAGTCTAATATCTTGAAAACCGGTGAATATTTTTCGGTGAAATTTGGTAGATATTCGTTTTCGCTCTTTCTGAACCGAGCGACATCACTTTCATGCCAATTCATAAACTTTTTTGAAGATGGGAGGGTCCCTTTAATGAATGTGACCGTCGTGTTTGTGGGATCCCCGTCGGTACTAGTCAGCCCCACGAATCGTGGTAGATCATAAAGATAATCTTCGCCTCCGGTTATGATTTTGATATATCTACGAAACGGGTGCTGGGTGGTACACGGAAGCAGCTTTTTCAGGTGAGTTGAAAGGGGAAGAGGTTCTTTGAATTACCATTTCGGACCATGGTTCTAAAAAGCGCTAGTTTAAAACGATTGTTATAATTCCTATCGTAAACCATCGGACGCTCGACGCTGCATTGGCATTGGTACGATGTGCCGGTAATCGCTTCGCTCGCCGAGAATGATAGCGTGGCAGGTTTACTGATATGTAGGATTATCAAATAAATGTAATAGAAACGATATTAAATCCACTACCTCTTTAGAAGCTCTTGAAATAAACCTGGCTATCTGGTTGTCGAAGCCAGGCAAATTATATGCTTGGAATGGCTAAATGTCCATTGTCCATGACATCATTAAATTGAATTATTTTCCTTCTTAGCACTTAAAATACATTTCAGCGACACAAAACTCCCAAAAGTCTGATATCTTGCCCGTGGTATCGTGGTACGATCGGCGAGTACCTAAACCTTCCTACGCAATGTCCATGGCTATGCCATGGCTATGCGAAGTCTAAGGTTGGCCTACATAAGCCTTGGGTTGGCCTGTTTATCCTGTTTCATATCGTATCTATGATAATAAAGTGTTCACGATCGCATAGCCAAACTGAGAACAAAATATTTATTTGCAAAACTCCAGCAATACCCCTCGCTTGATACTATAAAAAATATTGCACACGATCATGCGAAGCCGTGAATCCTACCGCCTTTATTTAGCGCCGGCGTTCCCGCGTTAATATTTCTCCTGAATCGGAGGACCAATAATCAGCTGACGCACCGTTGTTTTGATGTCGGCGGACCGTGCCAGCCTGGTATTTTCCTATGGTAAATCGGAGTGATTGGTCGTGTTTTCAGTGTCTCTTTATTTTGCGCTGGTATTGCGTGGCTAAGAAGTTTTATCAAGAATGGCATATACTAAAATGTTCCTTTAATAATGGAGCTTCAATATCTGTGAGTTTTATTGGCAAGCGAAAACTGATTTCGCTGTTATTTTATCTGGAAATTACTCATTTTTTTAGGTCAATATTCAAAATATTTTACGAGAACAAGTTGGCACTTTTCTTGATTTTTGCACTCAAATCGCGTGCGATTCAACTGTATTGGAACTTGCAAAGAAGCTTGGTGATTAATTAACTGTGTTGTTATGGCACTGTTTGCAAAGCATGGATAACGAAACTCTGCCAAAGATTTAGCTACATAGCAATGCCTCAAGTAATACGCAGGAGGGACAGAATTCAGAGTCCGATCGAGAAGAATCGGTGCAAATGCTACGAAGACCAGGCAGCTCTGATACAATAGCTAGTCGTCTCACTACTCTCACTCCATTAGACCAACTGATTCCTGACAGCACCGACTTGGATGCAAAGATGGAGCTCATCTTCCAAGCCAGAAACCAGTTCTTTGATGGAAGATGTGATGCTGCCTCTGCCTCTGCTTTGTTGGCCACTTTGGACGGGGCGGAGTTCCGCTCCTTGCGTGAGCGGTTATTCGCCTGTCATCCTATGTATCCTATGTATCCTATATACATGTTTGTATGTCCTATGTATGTTTGTTTTAAAAACGTTGCAGCGGCGCTGGGAACTGCAGTCTTAGATCTGGGTATGTTTGGCATCTGCAACTCTTCATATACACATTAACCCTATTTCGGACGGGGAGACCTTTCAGGATTTTCTTGTACAATTGCCAAACGCCGCGAGACATTCAGCTCATATTTGGTGACTTTTCCTAAATGCTCATTGCGCACATCCCAGCAAAAAAAAAAAAAAAAATGCCGGGTCAGGTCAGGTCAGGTAACCAGAGCGGGTTTGTTGACCCCACCTCAGAAAAGTTTGCAAACACGTCAGAGCTTGAGTTTTTCACGAAGTTATTTCCTCTCATCAAGTCTTCAAAACAGTACCTGCAGTATGTGTCGTTTGTATATCTCAGAATTTTTGATCTGTGACCTGAGGTTAGGTCAGAGTCGTGACCTTTACATTGCAAGCCTATGGAAAAGTATTGAAATGCGACCTGCACCTCGAGTAAACGAGTCAAAACCACCCAATTCTTTAAGAATTATGACAAATTATCTTATCTGTAATGATCCAAGTGCCATTTACTGACAGGGACACCGGAGAGGGTTATCTGAGCCGAGATCATGTGAGGTGATATCTACCATACATCAATGCTCACAATACTTACAATATTGACAATGCTTTTGCTTACAACACTTACAATACTTACGATGAGACCAGCAAGCACTCTGCCGTTACAGTTCTAACTTCTGCTTCGAAAAACGACGTTACACACATTCGCTGCCAGCATAACATGTATTGTTTGACAGTAACAAAATACAATTGACATCTGAACCCCAAACGGACCGCCATCCACTCAAATTTTATAACCCTGACCGGTCAGGGGGCGAATGGAGGTCATCTCCTGGGCATTACACTCAGCCCTTGCACAAAATATCTCACCTCACAGTGATCATTACAACAATAGCACCGACTTGATAGTGGATTTCAAAGTATTTGCATCAGCTCTTCCTGCTATTGCAGACGATCATCTCCTCAAGGTAATGTTGTTCGGGACATGAACGAAGATCGTTTTCAGAGTTTCATAAGTGCTACTGCAACAGCCTGGCACAAAACAGGACTTGTACGCTCTTCTCTGCACTTTGCCCTTCAGTATATCACAAACAGTGGCGTATCCAGGATCTTGGAAAGGGGGAGGCCAAACCTGCTCGAGGGGCCCCATCCTTACCTTAGGGGCCCCAGTAGTAGTGTACTTAACTCACACCCAGGTGCGGTTCTTTGCCACTTTCGCCATGTGAGGGAGCCTTTTTAGGCACACTCGGCAATCTAAAAAAAAGAATGTTGAAACGTGAAAAAGGCATCGATATCGATAGCTCTGTAGCGTACAATTTATTTCAGCAGTAGGCATAAAGTTTTTTTTTTTTTTGCTTTGGTCGTCGCTAGGCCCTAGCGACGACCAAAGCAAAAAAAAAACTATATGCCTACTGATCTTTAGTGACCCTAGCGGCTAGGGTCACTAAAGATCATCAAAAGCAAAATGTCTTTGCCATTTTTTTAAAGATTGTAACATTTTTTCAAAGGGCAGATGCCAGTCTCTTAGTGTCTTGCTCTGGTCGAGGGCTGATACCCTAAACTTTAGAAGGGCCCGACTCGGGTTGAGCTCTGATCTAGACTCTGATGGCTCTATGTCGCCCACATTGGCCTCACTCCGACCTCTGAAGGCTCATTCTGGCCTCTGAAAGCCCCACACCGGCAAAAGGGTGAACCACGCTGGCCTCCGGGCCCCATAATGGCCTCAGGAGACCCATGCTATGGCTAACCTCACAGGGCCCCCCGCTGGCTCTTGGGAGCCTTTGAGTCAGTCTCTGATATCCCTATGCCGCTCTCGAACCCACGCCGGTCTCTAGAAGCCCATGATGCCCCCTGAGGGTCCCACGCATGCCTTTAAGGGCCACTC